GGGGCGGGGCGGGGCGGGGCCGGGATGGGATGGGATGGGATGGGATGGGTCGGGCGGGGCTGGGCGCCGCTCCCCTCCGCCCTGCTCCGCCTTGGGCCGGGTCTCGGGGTGCGCCCCCCGCCGCAGCCGAGCCGGGCTGCCTCTGTCGGGGCGCGGGCGGGGGGGCTGCGGTATCACTGCCCGCGGGCGATAAGGCAGATAAGGGCCATAAGGGAGGCGGCTGCGGCCGGGCGATAAGGGGCGGGCGGGAGGGCGGGAGCTGGCCCGGGGGGCAGGCTGGGGCGGAGCTGCCAAGCGGCCGCTGAAGGGTCGCTGTGAGGGCGGGGGAGGCTGAACGCGGCCCGCCGGGGTCTGCGCTCCGGCTGCGGGGCGGCAGGGACGGGCGGGGCCGGGGTGGGCTGCTGGCCGGGCTCAGAGGCGGCCCCGCGGGCAATAAAGCACCTYTGGGAGCCAGCGGCAGGTATCCCTGTTGACATAGCTTTGAGGAAGGGAAGAGCGGGCGTGAAGTTTCCAGGTAGGAAGCAGTGGGGGGTGGAGAGCGTGTTGGGATGCTCCTGTAGCACAAAGCAATGGTGAAGAATGGACTCTTGTGGAACTGCGCTGCTGATCTAAGGGTGTGCTGCATATCGCCAGTCTCTCGCAAGGGAGGGGCCCAGCAGGGCTCTTCTGCCTGGGAAAAAGCAAAATACACCTTACCTAAGGTCTGGAGATGTGCCACAAGTGAAAGACSGTGTGTTTTGTTCTGCTTCATCGTTTGGTTTTGTTTCAGCCCTCTTGTASTGCTGAGAAGGGTGAACTCTAATGGAAGGTTCTCCACATGATGCAGAARCACACTGGAGAATAGTGTGTATCTGCTACAATGGTTGTGTCCTCATCTGTAAGAGCCAGGCTATGTCTAGCTGTAGACAGGACTGCTGGCTGTACTTTCTCACTGCTCTGTAGCATTAATTAATGTTGAAAACTCTAGCTTAGAACTATTCTGTAACTTAATCACCAAGTACAAGAAATGTGTACTAATCACCGGGTCAGCTGCTGAGGAACTCTTTGAAGGGCATCTCAAAATACTTGCATTTAGCACTCCAAACAGAAGGCTGTGGTTCAGCATCAGTGTGGGAAAATGAGGGGAAATACATCCCGGTTGCCATGGAATTTGATGTGTCCTGAGAATTGGGTATAACATTTGCAAAGCTGGGTAGAGGATCTCAGAGAGAAATGCTCCTTGCATGGTGCCTGGTGAGCCTTTGCTCACATGAGAATTTTTGAAGGCAAAGTACTTGAACACAGTTTTCTGTTGAACTCAACATTGCCCAAAATGCTTAAAGTTTGATTTTCTTTAGGAAAACTAAGCTAAGTATGTATCCCTGCTTCTGCCTTCCAAACAAATCACCAGCATCACTTTATACACCCTACATTAACTTCTGTAAGATTTAAACATGTAAGTCACTAAATAAGGATTTCTCTTGAGTGTGAACCGTCAGCACTGCTGATTTATCAACTCTGTAAGATTTTTACTGTTTTTATTGCCTTTGCCTTTTACTTGTGAGCAGTTGATGGCTGRTAGAAATTGACTCCTTTTATCTAAAGAGGCAGCAAAGCCTGTGACAGGAATCACTCTTCAACCCCTGAATGGACACATTTTCAAGAACAGTTCCTGATTTCCCATGTCCTCAGTCCCTCTAYAGATGTGGAGCTGGGAGTGTGCCAGTCATGCAATGGTGCAGGCATATTGGGGACATCATCTGCATTTTGGTTGAGGGGCAGGCCTATTTCCACTGTGGAAAGGACAGGGTGCAAAATCTTTAAGTACTTCCTTTAGAGCTGCAGTGCCTCCCCTGGCTGAAACCAGGCACAGCTGTCCTTAGAGCAAGGATGCTTGTTTTGATTCTGAGCTCCAGCACTAATTCAGGGCAGGTAGTTCATATTGCCTTCTGTACCTCAGCTTTTCTACCTGTAAGAGGGAAATGCTAWTAGCCCTGACTTGCAGCCAGAGATTTTGTAAAGATTAGTTGGCGTTTTTGGCACATTAACAACTATTCTTTCATAAAAATAAAAGTAGTGTGTTGTAGTAGAACAGAAATACAATTCTTGTATGTTTCATGTCTTAAAATATGTTCTCAAAACTCGGAGGAAATGTAGCTGATCAGTATCAGCAGGCCTCAAAATAAGTTTATCAAGGGACTTTTGTTTCAGTTTGTATTGGATAATTATTAGGCAGCATCCCTCCCTTCTGACCATCACGCAAATAATCGGTCAGCAGCAGGGTTCTGTGTTTTAAGGTAGTGCCATGGCACTAAGCTTTGTTTAGCTACAAAAGGATACAGCAGAGCCATGCTGCGTGAACCAGTCCCCACAGAGAGGACTGGACACAACTGTAATGACAGCAGGGGACAGAGACTTCACTTCCCCTTCTGCACAGCTTGTGCTTCCTTGCCATGGATGATGCTGCTGGCAGTGCAGTCTGTGTAATGAGCATTAAACTCTGCCTTTCGTTTCTGGCAGCACACTATTATGGCCAGGATGATGAGGGATCAGAAGGCCATGAAATTTCTGTTTAATAACAACACAAATCTTTCATTTACCTATGCTCTGTAGAGGAAGACTGCAAATGCTCTGTGTATCACACCTTGGAATGGTTTAAATGGGTGAAACTTTGCTAAGACAAAGTTTTGCTGTTAGGGAAAGAAATAAATAACATTGATAAAGGATTAAAATCAAGGCAGAATTTATTTGATGAAATAAGTTATTTTTTAAGATATAAAATACCTGATAAAGTATGCAAGTGATATAGAGAGCACTTGAAAAATAAWTTCGTTCCTCTGTTCTTCTGTGTGAAGTGGGAGTTTTGTCTCTGTTAGGGAAGATACAAATTTGTTTCTGTGAACATGGATAACAAATGATAGGGTTGACTTTGTTTTATAATGTGTTCTAGATTTTTAAATATTTAATTATTTTTACTTCTGATAATCATTTGTTCTTATGCTGTCTTTTTTTTGGGTTTTTGGTTGTTTTTTTTTGTTTGTTTGTTTTTTTAAATCTTCAAATACAATGTCTTTGTGATCTTGCATAAGGACAAACATTAAAATTAAAACACTTAGCATAGATTTCTTTTTCTTGATGGCAATTTTAGGCCACTCTTTAGGTACACTTTCTGAGTATGAACTGGAACATTTCAATAAACTTAAGGGKTTTTTTCCAAACGACACGATTCTATAGAACATTGACTGTTGCTTAGAGCATAAGCAGGGGTTGTGCTGTCTTTATCCAGCCTGGCCAAACTTTTTGTGATCTAAGGTTCTCTGTGCCACTGACTTCCTTTTTTTTGTAACTGTTTTGGACTGGGTTCCCTTTTTTTTGTATTCCTGAAAGAGCTCTGTGAAAAGCCTAGTGRTAAATCAGTATCTTTCTGAATTTATTTCCCAGAGTAGTTAGCTCTGAGGCTATTACCTAAACTTGTTGGATTTCTTTTGGTGTTTTTAATGTACTAATTCTGTTTATTTCTCTGTGTGTTTGGAAAGCTCCTTTCAAAGGAACATGTTGTTTTTCTAAATTGATTTTTCAGAAGTTTGCCTTTGAGTCATTCAGTGCTTCTATATCACATTTGATAGCCTGCAACAAATTTGGTGAACTACATTTTTAAAGTGTTTGATTTGTTGTTTGTTATTTTCTTTCCTTTTTAATTTTTTTTAAAGTTTTCAGTTAGAGGTTGAAACTCATTGTCCCAATGGTGTTTGTGTAGTTTTTCCTCTGTCTGTGCTCAGTTTTCTCCAGCTCACAAGTACTGCCTTTAGCCTATTCATACAAATGTCTTTGTGTGCAGTGAAATTCTCTGCTGTGTAGAAAATGCTGCTGAGATCACTGTGCTGCTGAGACGCATGCCTGTGCTGCAGCAGATCTTTGCCCCAAGCAGGAATTCTACCTTTGCCCCTGAATTTGCTCTTGCCTTGGCTCTAATCAGGACTACCTCTGCAGATAACAGCAAAGCTTTTGTTAGTTGATTACAGCACGTGTAACATTTAGTCTGTCTGGGAAATCAATGGGCATAGCAGTGCCAGAATAGCTCTGTTTTGTGGGCAGCTAAGAATGACTTCAACAGAGACTGATGTCATGACTTCACACATTTTTCTCTTCAGGTGCAGTCCTACTGATTTCTTTTCCAGTATAGGTCATATTTAAGGGAGAGGAGACTTAGATTCAATCAAGCTATCAAATGTTAGCAAGTATTAACGAGACTTATGTATTTATCATAGAATCATAGAATGGTTTGGGTTGGAAGGGACCTTAAAGATCACCCAGTTCCAGCTCCCCTGCCATGGACAGGGACAGCTTCTACTAGACCGTGTTGCTCAGAGCTCCATCAACCTGGCCTTGGACATTTCAGGGATGGGGCATCCACAGCTTCTCTGGACAACCTGTTCCAGTGCCTCACCACTCTCACAGTAAARAATTGTTCTTAATATCCCATCTAAACCTGTTCTCTTTCAGTCTGAAGTCATTCCCCCTTATGCTGTCACTATGTGCACTTGTAAAATGTCCTCTCCAACTCTCTTGTAGCCACTCCTGCTTTAGGTACTGAAAGTGGGTCTGCCGGAAAGACCACAGA